GCAACGAAAGAAACAACAGTTATAGAGGATGGGGGCCGATCAAAAACCAAACGTTCAATCCGGAGGTGACCGTACCGGGCTCTGTATCCCGGCGTCAAATCGATAAATCGATTGACTGAGTTTTCTCATTGTGGGCCAAAGCTTCAATCGATTCCCGCCTTGTCTTGCTTCGGACGTGAGTGGCTGCAAATGTTAATCCGTGAACTGTTTCGTAGGTGTGGGTAGCCTTACGGTAAGTAAATTTATGTGGCACCGATCGAATCAGTCCTGAAATGAGGCCAGAACTTGGAAATGAAAGATCACGCGCACCAGATTTCAAAATGACCTCTTCTGGGCGATAGAGGTCCTGCGGCTGATAGATAACATTACTGTCTGGCCTACTTGTCACAGGCTCATTAATTGTGGTCATGCGACCTCGCAGCGAGCCGTTTCCGACTAGTTGACCGACTTTAACTCGCGCACTCACGCACGTACGTCCAGGTAGTCGTGGCTGCCAAAGCGTCACTTGAACACGCCGCCCCTCGGAAGATGCAGCATGAGCCACTTTATATGATAGCCCCTCGGGTCATGCAACACTTCGACTGAACAGCGCTTGAACTAGGTCCGCAATCATGTAAACGCAACTGTTACCGCTTTACAACCCTCTCTCACAACTGAATGTTATAGTCAACAGCAGGCACAGCCACTGCTGACTGGGACAAGAATTCGGAGATTGGTGCAAAATAAAGCCCTGATTCGGGGTCGTGTGTGATTGCCTCACCATCATAACCATAATCATCCTACTAGTCGTCCTCATCATCATGAAACTCTTAGTATTTTCGAAGGATTATTTGTTAACTATGATGAACCTTTCGTGTTACACAAAATTTGTCCCTAATGAAAATGTATAGCGATCGGAGCCACAGTATATAATGTTACGGATGAAAGAGTATTCGAATCTCTTGAACTACCTTGGGTCGTGAACTTTGTTTAAATTCAATTGCATTACGCGCGGCTTTCGAATTTGAGCCACCCGATTCTTCGCAAAAGATCCACATGGGCGCGGCTTTCGAATTTGAGCCACCCATTTTTTCGCTCTCCTTTCCGTGGGAATTTATTTTCCTATACCATCCTCTCTAATCCTCTGCTTTGTTTGTCTGCATTTGTGATCATCAGGTCATATCTACAGTACACTGCTACCTTTTTAAATGCACGAAAACAAGTTATTTTATCGAAAACATATCACCATCCCAACATTTGTCAAAGGCCTCCAATCTGTCGCATATGCAATTCACCAACAACACCAACATT